ATGGGGCCCACAGCAGGAAATCTCTCATAGAAAAAGGCAGTCAGGAATTGAGTATGTACAAAGCACCATGCAGCATAGCAGCCCATGGATAGCTCCATGTCCGAATGGCTGAGGTCAAGACGGAAATATAAGTTACCCAGGAAGAGGGGAGCCAGAGGAATTTTACTACCGCTGTAAAGCTTGACAGCCAAAGGAAACACCAAGGGGTTAATGCTTTTGGCAGGGTTACTAAGTAGAACAAAGAAGGAGATTAAATAAATGATGAACGCAGCCAAGTACAAGTCAGCTCGGTAGCCTGGCCCAACTACGGAGTCACGACTCTCCTCAGTGATGTCGCCTACAACTGGTTGCATGTCCTTGAAGAAATGCTTCAACTAAGAAAGATAGGTGGTCTTATCCTTTTTAGGCCTCTCATGGAGTAGTTCCCTGGTTTTAAGGTCATACCAGGAGCCAAACTTCCGCGCCTCCTGAAAGGCGGTTTAAAGAGCAGTGACAGCAACTTACTCTGCAGGGGTGGCGTTAGGTCAAAGGAGTGATCTCCACGGGAGCTGAGGCGTAGAAGAACAACAACATCTTCTAGGGTCAGGGTTATCTCCCCCCATGCCAAGGCAAAAGTGTGAGTGTCACGGCTCCAACGGGAGACAATCATATTAGTGTTGGTTTGCACTTTATGCACCGATAACTCCCTTGAGATCAAAATGGCATTGAAAAGACGGACATCACGCAGACGCTGCTTAAAACTGCCATCTGCAATGATGTCATCAACCCAAAGGTACCAATCTGCTGGAGGGCCCAAATGAGTGCGATAGTAGATGTAAGAATGTGGAAAGTCGCCGCGCTCCACGCGAAATCGCAGCACAGAGACTGGGTTTACCATATCCGCGCCATCCAAAGTGGCCTTTCCAAAAGGAAGCAGAGGCTCCTCCAGAGGAAGGGCATCAGGAATGAAGGAGTTAACTGCCTTCCAGAAGGGGTTAGCCAGTCCTTCGAAGTATGGGGCCCTTCTCTACTTAGTAGGGGGTGGGGTAGCCTTGTCGGGAAGAAACCTCGTGCTGGCCATAAAGGAGAATAAAAAATGGTGAAAGGCTTTGGAAAGTAGGGACAAGGAAGAGAAGAAGACAAAGGGGACAGAAAGGTGTTTTGGGAAGAAGTGGGGGACCAGTGGACCCAAGGGCGTTATTTATAAAGAAAAATCAGCAAAGGGCGCCTATACGCTTCCCTAGGCCATTATGACTGACAGTCCAAGAGGCACCCTTTTAGAGCTGACGCAAATTTTGACCCTACCGACACAACCCTTGGGTTGCTTACTGACGTCATGCACACGCGGGAAACAGGAAGCGTGTCTCTCACGCGCGCAGGGGGCAAAATGTAGCGGGTCAGAAATTAAGCCCCAAACTAAGTATGGACCCAAGCACTTAGATCGTCCCAAAAAGGCGACCAGGGATAAAAAAAAGGGAGCATGGGCCAAAGCCCAAGGGAAGTGGGCCAACAAGTGGGCCAAGGTAGGTCCGACCCACCAGGGCTCCAGATAGACTCCGCGAAGAAAAATGCCCACGTCAAGTTGTAGAGGCAACACCTGTAGCGGTGAAGTTGCTGAGAGAACATGTGTAGCGGTAAAGTTGTTGAGGCATTTTGCCTCAGCGCCGCCATTCCTAATATTTTCAGTCCCGCCACCATCTGAAGTTGCTGAGGGAAAAAGAAAGCTGACGCAACTAAGTGGCAGAGGCAACACTTGTGATGGCCAAGTTGCAGAGGTCAAGTTGCGGAGTCACCTAAGTTACAGAGCCAACACTTGTAGCAACCAAGTTGCGGAGGCACTTCGTTTTAGCGCCGCCATTTCAAGTAATGTCGGTGCCGCCGCCAATCCAAGTAATGTCGGTACCATAGCCATCTAGAATTGCTAAGAAAATGAGAAAACCGAAGCAACAAAGTTGCAAAGGCAATACTTGCAGCGCCCAAGTTGCGGAGGCATTTTGTTGGCGTCGCCATCTCTAATATCTTCGGTCCTGCCGCCTGAACTTGCCACGGAAAATGTCTACTGCAGCAACTATTACTGCTACAACTAAGTTGCAGAAGAAATATCCTGCTAAGGTGATAGCAGCCTTTGAGAGAGGCCTCCCTCTGCAAGTAAAGGCTAATGCTTGTCACTGATAGCAAGCCCCAAGGTATCACTAGCCTAGGGTTGATAGCAGGCTCCAAAGTTTATTAACCTAGCGTTGATAGTAGGCTCTAAGACTTACTGGTTGGAGTTAATAACAGGCCCAAAGATACTAATTTACTGCGGCAATCCCGCGAAGATGGGAGCAGGGTGGCCCAAACATAAGGAACCCCCTTCCCATTACCCAGGTCATGGACCTGCCTTAGTTGCACAGGCAGGACTAAGAAGCTCTCTTGGGCTTGGTACTAAGGCATAGCATGGCTAATAGTAGGCTTAGCAGTGGCCTTCGCCCTGGGAAGTTGGGAAGTTTGTAGTTAGGTGGCTAACGGTGGAGGCTTCACTGAAGTGAACACGAACATGGCTGATAGCAGGCTATAGAGTCCTGAGAATGCATGTATTGGCTAAATAGAACTGAGAAGGCAAGTGCAGTGGTAAGGTTCACCGCTGCAAGTGCAAGTGTACTTGCTGAGGTTCAGGTTGAGAAGACAAGTGCAGAGGCAAACACTCCTACTGCAATTGCACTTGCTGAGGCCCAAAAGGGAGTTGCAGTGCCAAACACTCCTGTCGCAACTACACTTGCTGAGGCTTAAAAAAGTAGTTGCGGAGCAAACAAATAGTACACAGTACATGTAGAGGGACACGTGGCACCTTTAGTTTGGTGGCTCAAGGCAGAATATTCTATGTGATCCCCTAGGACACATGTCTTCTCCCTATTTGGCCGCTTGGTGTCCTCTTGGTGCCAAGGAAAAGCCTATAAATAGGACCTATTTCCTAAGGTTCAAGAAGAAGAATTTTGGAGATTTGGGGAAGATGCTGCCCATTTTGGCATTGCCATACACTTCTTCTTGAGCTACTTGCTTCACCCGCACCCAGCTACACACTCTCCAACTTCCATACAATTACTGTTACTTATTCTCCAGCCACTTCCACCATTATTGGATCACTAACATAGTTTGCCTCTCTAATCACCTCTCTAACCTTGAACCCCCCTATATTTCTGAAACAACACCACACTGATTCAAGAAGATGACAAAGTGCATGTTATTTGTTGTGTATTCAGGATTAATGCAACTGAAAAAGCAAATAAGCTATTTACAATAACAGCATACCATATTTTCCAGAAAGCAGTAGTAAAACACAAGTACAATAATATATATATATATTATTAAAAAAAAAATAATTGAAGGCAAATCATACATATGGCATAATGCTAGGGCTGAGCAAGAAATCCGTAAAATCCGTAATCCGATCCAATCCAGTAGGTTTGGATTGGTTTTTTGAATCTGTGGTTCGGTTTCGGATTGAACCCCACGGTTCTGGATTAGAACCGATCCGAATCGTATATATAGTATGTTCTCTTATTTCATATAAAACTTAAATCCAAACCTAAACTCGTATAGTATCTTCTTTTATTACTTTTGTTTGCTAGTTTTAGTGTTAATTTGTAATGGTCTAAATACTTATCGTGGAACCAGTTTTCTTATGGTTATTTAAATTCTAGAACAGTTTATCGTTATTATGAAAAGACATATTGCTATTGTGAAACTAATATGGTGCTATATTTATATTTTTATGAAATTAAAGTGTTATATATATTTTTTTGTCATTTAATTATGTAAATCTACGGTCCTAAACCGATCCAATCCGTGTTTAAATGGATTGGTTCGATTGGTTCCACGATTTAAATGGAGTGGATTGATTCCAATTTTTCAAGAATCGTAAATAACGGATTGGTTCTGGTTTTATCTCAATCCGATCCAATCCAGACCATACTCACCCCCACATAATGCAGTATATTAATACTGAAGAAGATTAGAAACATAGATTAAATGAAGAGCCATTTCTTCACTAACCGTTCGTTTGGTATAACAGGTGAGAAAAGAAGATTTTAACAATAGATTTTTTTTTTCCCTATCTGGGTGAGAAAATGAGGTTAAAAAAAAAAAAAATTATTTTTTCTCGCTTTCATGTTTGGATGATTAAGAAAGCAAATTTTGTGAGAGAATAAGGATGTGAGAGAATAAGGATATATGAGTAAGATTTCTTTTTCTTTCTTTGTATTTTAATAGACAATCTCACTATTATGAAAATTTTATAACCAATCGGTTTATTTCTCGCAAAATCGCACCACTTTTGGTGAGAAATTGAATCCCCGAAGTAAGAGAGTTATCATTCTTACTATTTCTCATCAGTTCTCACCAAATTTATAAACCAAACACAAGGTCCCTCTATCCATTTTTTTTTTTTTTTTTTTTTTTTTTTTTTTTTTTTCTCCATCCCAAAAAATAAAAAACAAAAAATAAAAAAAAAACTGTTTTCAGCAACAGCCACTTCAATAAAAAAGCTCAACTATAGAATCGCAAAGCTGAATATTTGAAATAGAGAAAAATAAATAAACCATAATCACAAAGATCAGAAACATAAAAATAACCAATACCCTTTTCTTGACTAAGCTCCATCCTCTCAAAACACCCATAAAAAAAAAAAAAACTGATTTCCATTAAAACCCACATCAAGAAAAGCTCAATTATAGACTTGTATATACAGATAATAAACCATAATCACAAAAACTAAAAACACAGAGAACCCATTTCATCGCTTCAAATATGAGAACAAACAACAGGTTTTTCATTGACACCCAATTCAAAAAAAGAAAACAAAACGAGATCAATCACAGTCCTATGTAAGCTAAATCTAGAGGCAGATTACATAGAGATATAAGAAGTAATTCATATAACTGAAGGGCAAATTTAGAGGCACAATCGAGACATGTGAAAACGTATTATACATTAGAACTGAGAAGATTAAAGGAACGAGAGAAGGAGAGAAGAGTGTTGTTGACCTTCGATTCGAAAATCCCAGATACGAATTTAGAGTATTTACTGTCCACGAAGGCATTAGTCTGTGCTCTCGACAGGTTTCTTCTTTACTATATAATATATTATATCATTTTTTAATAAATATGTTACCTTGTCTTGGTTCAATCCAATCCAAATCTACTTCTTTTGAATTATTTTGGGATCCCCAAGATTTTTGTTAGCCTTTGTTTGGCAATCTTGAATTGGGTTGGGTTAGATTTAGAATTATTTTAGTGAAAAAAATAAAATAATTTTTTTAGTTTAATAAGATAAAATGTCACATTTAACTTATAATCATTACATTCTTTTTCTCAAAAAAAGTCAAAAAAATAAAAAAACCTATTTTAAACGAGACTTTTTAGACCAGACCCCACTTGCCAAACGAACTCTAGTGCGAGGGGAGATAAAAGATAGGTTTGATTGACAATAATTTTGAGATAGAATAATGTAAAAATGCCCCCTGCCTCAGCCCAGAGTTTGATGGCTCCCTCACCTCCCCTCCTTCTCTTCCTCCCCTCCCATCCCCTCCGCCTCCTTCTCTTCTTCGTCTTCTTCCTTCTTCTGCTGAAACAAAAAAAAAATACAAAAACGACGACGTTTTGTATATCAGGGGCATTCGGGGCTCCCACATTTGGGCTCCCAATCACAGCTCTAATTATTTATATCTAAAACAACTGCTTTATATTCATAAATTTAAATTTAAACATTTGATATGTGTTCAAAAAAATTTATATCTAAACACATTTGTAGTATATATTGAAAGCTTATATGATGTGCAAATAGAATTATTCAAAATATTATCCTTTGTTATACCAATCAAATTAATATAAGTGAGAAAATTTAAAGACAATGTGTGTAATCTCTCTCTCTCTCTATATATATACATATATATTGAGAGATGACAAACTTAACTCAAAACTGTAAATTTTTTTGAATTACATTAATTTGAAACCCGTTTAATGATGGATGACATCTTATAAACCTATTTAAAATTAAATTTAAATGACCCATTAGTTTTAGGTAAAAAAAAAAATCAAAGGAAGGCATCCACCAACACCACCATTAGGGGTGTTCATGAAAAACCGGAAACCGACCCACCCGCCCGGACCGACCCAAACCGAATTAAAATGGATGGTTTCGAATATTCAACCAGTCGGCTGCAGTTTAGTTTGGTTGAATTTTGTAGTTTCACGGTCGGCAACGGTTTTATATAAATTATTGCGGTTGAAACCGACCCGACCGAATTCTTCAACATAAGCAGGCAACTCTTACATTTTTAATATATATTTGTATAATTGTTTTATTTTTGGGAGAAGTGCAAAGCTTCCTGATGATATGCAAAAAAAAGTTGTCCAAGAGACTTTCATTATATTTCTCTCTTCCCTATATTTCTCTCTCTCTCTGTCTCTAATCTCTCTCTGTGTGTAACGTAAACCCACATTCCCTCTATATTAGATATCTTTTTATATCTATGATTTACCCATTTTCAAATTCCATCTCTTTCCAATCTCTCTCTCTCTCTCTCTGATACTTTGTGAGGTGTTCATCTATCCTTCAAATCAGAAGCTCCGATGCTGGTGGTGGTACTCTCTTACTAACCAAAATCGTAGGTATGAATTTATTAGTTTATTTGTTTATAATGTTTTTGATTAATTACAACTCTTGATTGATATTGTGTTTATGATTAATTTTTTATTAAATAACTGAAATCTTACATGAATTTTGTATTTTTAAATTTTGTTTTAAAAAATGCACTAGATTTAATATATATATATATTTTTAATTTTTTGCAGACTAACATAAACCCTACATGGATTTTTTTTTTATGAACAAAAACCCTTGTTTTAAGTCATTGTTTTTGTTTAAAAGAAGCTAAATGTAAAAAATCTGAATGCTCATGTGTGGTTTTTTTAATTTTTTTATTGTGTGGAATTTATTGTTTTTGTTTGTTTGGTTAACAAATAATTTTTTTTATTATGATAGTTTTTTAGACTTGTAAAATTATAAATTTAATATTTTTGCTAATTATATTTTCAATTGTAAAATTGTCTATTTTTAAAATTACTAATATTTTAACTTGGTAATAAATTAAAAATCATAAAAAATGTCTATTTTCATAATAAAATTGCTAATGGTGAAGGCCCAGTTATGGTTTGGCCCAACTATCACAGCCCAACCTGTGAAACCGATTGAATTCGACCGTCAATCCGATTCCTATGAACGGACGGTTTCGAACCATCATTCGGTTGAAATCGGATATTAAAACACTCAATCTGAATCTGTTCGGTCGGTTACCGGTTGATAGGTTAACCCGATCCAATCCAATCTGACTCGTGTGCAGCCCTATGGGCAGTAGAGTTGCAACAGTTTGACATCAAGTTTCAACCCAGAATCGCGATAAAAACCCAAGCTTTGGCAGACTTTGTCGCAGAATTCACACCAGGAAGTCATCACGTCTGCCCAGTTGACTTAACGGGTACAACCGAAACAGGGATGGAAAATGGTGTCGGAATAGCGCAACCCCTAATACAGGATACCCAGCTACCTCCCAGTTATTCGGACCAGTAGGTTCCTTATCTTTCAAAGGAGCATTTTGGCAACAAGCTAAAAAAGTTAATTTTTTGACTTTTTAACTTTTTTAGTCAAAAAAATTAATTTTTTTTATTCAAAAGAATCCAGCTTTTTGCCAAAAAGGTCACCAAAAAAAGTCAAAAAGTCAATTTTTTTACCAATTTCCTAAAGCACTCCAAAGCAATCAAAATTTGGAAGGATAGATTGGTCATAAAAAGTTAATAGAGGACTTATGTGTTTAAAATTTGAAAAATGCGTTGGACCCCCCAGTGGGGGTGCTGGGGGTCCTTGCTGATTGGTTCGAAAACAATTTTTTTTTTTTTGGACTTCAGCCACTGGCAGTGTGGCATGTGGCACTGGGGGTGCCCAGTCACTAAGAGTCCTTAGCATCACCCACATATATATTAAGAGATGACAAACTTAACTCAAAACTATAAATTTCTTGAATTTCATTCATTTGAAACCGCTTAATGATGGATGACATCTTATATACCTATTTACAATTAAATTTAAATGACTCACTGGTTTAGGTAAAAAAAAAATAAAAAAATCAAAGGCATCCATCAACACCAACACCATTGCCCTAACTCTACCTCCTCCCCACCTCCTTACAAAATAAACAAGCTGATTGGATTTTTGAATTGAATTATTTTAATCCATAACTTGTTTTGACCAGCTCCGTCACTTGCCACCTCTAGTGTAGATAGACCTCAAGTTCAAATATTAAAAAGCTTCCAAGTATGTCAAAGAGCAACATATCATCAGCTCAACCCTCCATTTTATTTATTGCGGCCACTCAATGGTGGTGGTACATACAGATTTGCTTCCCAATGACAACACAGTAAAATTGCTTGGCCAAACTGTAAAATTGTAACCAAATCCAAATAAATAAAGGTACAATAAAAAAGATGAACAATAGCTATGGAGAGTAATCTTTCTATTCATTTTACACCAAGACCACATTAACATGTTAACCATAACAGATATAAAGACATGCCTGTCTTTTTTTCACCTATGCATCCACTTTAGGTCGAAGCTCAATGCCCTCGACAATGAGGCCAGACTTCCAATTAAGGTGTTCGGTCTCCATCAATTTTATCTCCACTTCACGATCATTGTCTCTTTCATTGAAAAATTCTCCCAGTTCAATCTCCATCCACCCATCCTTTCTCCTTCGTGGAAGCGGACCAAGCGGTGCATCGTCTTCTTCTCCATTTGTTTGCAATTTCAAATAAATTGTTTTATCTTCTATGTCCCCAACAAGTGTAACTGAGGCCTTCATTGGGGTATATTCAAAGCCTTCATTTTGCTCTGTAGTTTTGAATACAAAGTATGCTGCATAGTTGGTCTCTGGGGACAGTATTTGAGTGTTTAATCTGCCTCCAATATCAAACCAACACACTTTCACAAGATGGGCCACCTCCAAGAATCTGCAAAACTTTATTCACATCACTCACCAATGCAATAAGATGTAACTAAAGTACGGACATAGCCACGTGACATGACACGAATACGACACGGACATGCAGACACGATAATTTTCAAAAAATACAGAACACGACACGTGAGAGATACGCACAGAATATATAATTTTATATATTTATATATGTCATATATATAAACATGTCATTCTAAGATAATAAATAAATACAATACAAAACTAACTTCTATAAATTGACTTTATTTTTGTTTTATCATCTTATTCTAAATTATTTTGTTCAAGCTTATAATTAGTTTTGTGTGTTTAGTTAATGGACACGCGTATCCTCAAAGTGTCCAAAGAGTGTTCGAAGTGTGTCCGAGTCCTAAATTCTTTATAAAAAAAAACTAAGACACGTTCAGATGAGTGTCTGACACGTGTTGGGAGAGTGTCTGATTAGTGGTGATGTCTGACACGGACACGACACAGATCCTTTTTAGAAGTGTCCGTACTTCTTAAGATGCAACAATATGCAATTTGTGTCATTTTAATCTCTAACATTTCAATTGAGCTGATATCATCCTCAAAAGTTTTATATGTGTGTTAAAGTAGTCCTCTTAACAAACACCATCAGTATTCATCATTACAATTAGGGATCTTTTCATAACAAAATATTATACCTCATCAAAAAATAGATTAATTACACTTCTGCTCACAAAAGTATACATTTTGTCATTTTTGTCATAATATTTCAATTGTGTCAATTTGTAAAGGGCTAATTTTCTTTTTGATGAGGTATTATTTTTTTGTTAAGAAAATGCTGAATATTGACATCAATCAAAGGAATCATTTAACACTACAGTATTATAGAAATGAAAGTGAAACAAAATGCATACTTTAAGAACCAAAAGTGTAATTATCCACCCTTTAAACCCCGAATATATAATAACTCACAAATCGGTTGAGTGCGAAAGTCAAAACCAAGCCACCCAAATTTGGACTTGGATCCTTTGTCATTCTTTCCTTGCTATGATCTTACTAAATTTTAAAATTAAATCAAAATAATGTTATTTACTTTACACTTCACACCTCCAAAATGATGTCGTTTTACGTC